AACAAGTAAAATGGAGGAAAGAATATTTATTGTCCAGGTTGGTATATACATTTGGGCAGACAACTTAGAGGGCGAGTTCATCAATATGTATATATTGGACGGATAGGAAAAAATGGACAATGAGCAGGGTCCAGAGTTGGATAGGAAGAGGAAAGTTGGCAAAAATGTTTCTGGGAAAGTAGCTAACCATAAGGTTCTTTCTGAAACATTGATCCATCTTTCTTTTCTCCTCTCTTCCCCTCCCCTCCTCTCTCTTCCTCTCTCCTCTCCTCTTCTTTTCTTTCTTTTCTTTTCTCTTCAGTATTTGTCTGATGAGTCATAGAATACTCTCATCTCTGAAGGAATAAAGCTCCAAGTGTTGCAAAGGGTAGCGGAGAGGCACATGGTAGGTACAAACTGTCCATAGCATTTTACTAATGAAGAAGTGTGCAGAACTGTCCCTCCTCCACTCCAACTATTGACCTCCCTGGTTTCCCTTAAGTCTCAACTAAAATCCCATCTTTTAATGGAAGCCTTCCTTGATCCTTCTTAATTCTAGCATCTTTACCCTATTGTTTCCTATTTATCCTATATATAGTTTGCTTTATTTCTACTTGTTTGTATGCTTTCTCCCCCATTAGACTGTGAGTTCCTTGGAGGAAGGTACTGTCTTTTGCCTCCTTTTGTATCCCCAGTGCTCAGCATGGTATCTCACCCATTTGTTTAGCTGTTTTTCAGTCATGTCTGATTCTCCATGATTCCATTTGAGATTTTCTTGGCAAAGATACTGGAGTGGTTTGCCATTTCCTTCTCTAGCTCATTTTACAGATGAGGAATCTGAGGCAAACAGGGTTAAGTGACTTACCCAGGGTCACACAGCTAGTACATGTCTGAGGCTGGATTTGAACTCAGGAAGATGACTCTTTCTGACTCCAGGCCTGGCACTCTATCTGTTGTGCCACTGAGCTGCCCCTCACCAGTAATAGGCAATTAATAAATATTCATTGATTGCTAATGATTGAGAAGAGGCATAAAGCTTAACATCAAAGAGACGTATGAGAAGTAGGGGGTCAGTCAGTTAAAAAAGGGATGACTGATAGATGATCCACCTTTTCCATTAATGTGCATACAATGTCATTAGATCCAGAGCAGGGGTTTTTAACTTTTTTGTGGTCAAGGATCCCTATAGTAGTCTGATGAAGCCTCTGGACCCTTTCTCTGAATAATTATTTTAAATGCATGGAATTACAAAGGAAAACAATGACACTAAAATAAAGTTATCAAAATATGAAAAAGGAAACAACCCTAGTTTATGGATCCTGAGTTAAGAATCCTAATTTAGTAGAAGGCCACTAGCATGTTCCCTGGGCAGGATTTATGAGTGCTTACAGTGAAGATTTATACAGGATGAGAAGGCATGGATAGGTTACCATCTATACTATGGGATGGACTAATCACATTTAAGCGATCCCAGATCCATCTAAATATGGAAGCATTTACAATTTTTTATTGCAGTCTCACCATAACACTTTGGTAGGCACTATGGATACTCTCCTCATTTTACAAATGAGGACATTGAGACCTTAGAGAAATGACTTACCTTATCACTCAGATAGTAAGAGTCAGAAGTGAGATTCAGACTGAGGTCTCTCCTGCCAAGTCTAGCATTCTTTCTCTACCACACCACATAATTGGGTCGAGAGGTTTACATGTATGGAAGACTGGTCAGTATGTATGCAGTTGTGGAAGCATGTGTATGGGACCCCACGGATGGTTGGTTATCCTGCATCTGGAATTACACGATGGTGTGGCATGGAGGGACCCAGCTCTCCACTTCAGACCAAGTGTAGGCATTCTGTCACTGTCTCCTGTTTCCTTACTGAAGCCTTTTAATTGGCTGCCTGCTATATCTTCTCAGAAAATGTTCCTTTGTAAAAGCTAATGGATGTCAATTGGTCATCAATGATGTTAGGAAGAAACCTAGGTACTAGGAATCCTGAGTTGGAACTGGAAAATGATATTGGGGTACTGATAACTGGTGATTGATATTGGGGGAAATATTCCAGAATAGAGGCTCAAGCTGATAGCATTAGAAGAACCCCAATGTGCTTCAGAGGTACTCCAAGAGCCCTCAATTGTCAGGGCATGTCATTTCTCTCTAGGAACTCAAATTGCTAGTTCAAGTGGGAGTTCAATGCTAGTTCAGTGTTCCATCTGGAAAGGCACCCTAGGAGGGGAGAGGAATGAAGAAGAGGTGACCCTGGTCAAATCATTTAACTTCTTGTAAGAGGCCATAGTTTCCTCAACTGTGAAATGAGTCAGATTCTAAATTTGTGACCCATGAGATGGGAAGATGACAAAGAACCTCTTCCTATATTTCAGATTGTTCACTGCCCCCCCCCCCATAGTCTGGTAGCCAGAAAAGGTTGAGGAAGCTGCCTTGATCCTGCTCCCCTTCTTCCTGAAATCCTGCTCCCCTTCTTCCTGAATTTCATGGTCCTGTTCCCAAGACCCAGGCTAGGAGAATGAGTACTATATAGTTCAGTTGTGGTCTGCTTCAGGAGAGAATCCCAACAGTGATCACCTCATAGACCCATTGGAGTATTAGGATATTAGAGTTCATTTGCATTTTGAGTTAGACTTTTGAGAGTTGGCTTGGGCATCTAACCATCAAATAAAACATTGCTTCTATGAGAAATTTCATTTTGATTTTTAATCCAACCTAGAAATAAACTTTTAACACAGGCTTTTCCTGAGTGGAAGATTTCCCTGTATATAATTTTTAACCTTGAAATCTCCCCACAAAATTGTCAAATATTTCTTGTACCCGAAATGGCCATATAACAGGCATGTGATGGGACTTGGGGCTATAGGATCCACAACATTTCCTTCCTATTGCCACAGCTTCTCAATTAACTCATGGCTCATTTTCCTGCTACTCTTTTCCTGCATCTTGAATCCAGCTGTTACAAGAAGTCCACTTAGACCTCATACTGTAACCAAAAGCAAAACAGTTTAGATTAAGGAAAGGTTTTGGAATATCCAGCATCAGCTATACATGCATGAATGCATTAAATATACAGAACTATATTGTCATTCCAAAACACTATTCTCCTCATGAGACTGACCCCTGACACCAGGTCACTGACAGGGACAGCGTGTGAGATATGCTTCAGATGGACACAAAAGGATGCTGCGTGACCTTGTAGGTGGATGCGCTGTTCTCACGGATTGTGTAGATAGATTAGAATCTGTCAAGTCACCCCTTCAGGGTGGAGGGCTTTTGGTGAAGGAAAGCAGTCTCTTCTCTGAGGCTGGCAAGCCTAGAGAGTAGAGGCAGAATGAGCTCCTTTCCATGGTCATCTTTGCTTTCTTCCACACAAAACACCAACTTCTTGATAACACTTTAAGAAACTCTGCTGCTACAGAATTAGCAATTCAGAATTGCCATTCCCCAGGTGCTAGGGTAAATGAAGTTATACTGGAATGTTTAAGTGCTGGCGAGGTACTGAAACATCCCACTTTGCAGTGGATTATTCAATGTGTTGTACTGAGAACACTGCCTTGAAAGACGCCAGGAAGAAACAAAGGGTTATAAGGGTATAGTCCCAAGGTCAGGGTCTTTGAAGGAGAAACTCAGAACCCCTTTGGTGATGGTAGTATAAATTTACCAGCTTTGGATCAGAAGTACCTCAGACTCACATCATAACAATCTATATTAATAAATTTAGGCAAAATGGGAATTATAACACAGTTAAAACAAATTCTGGGGAAGTTAGGTGGTGCAGTGGATTGAGGGTTGGGGCTGGAGTCAAGGAAGACTCATCTTCCTGAGTTCAAATTCAGCCTCAGACACCATCTGTGTAATCCTGGGCAAGTCACTTGACCCTGTTTGCCTCAGTTTCCTCATCTGTAAAGTGAGCTGGAGAAGGAAGGGGCAAACCACTCCAGTATCTTTGCCCAGAAAGCCTAAAATGGGCTCATGCAGAGTGGGACACGAATAAACAACAAATAACACATTTTGGAAATGTTTATCTATTCTTTGAAAGAGCCGGTTGTATTTTCTTTGTAAATCCTTTGCTCCATCTCGGTTAGTGTGATCTTTTCACTATCCCATAAACATACCGTCTCTATGCCCTCTTTTCCTGGAATGTCTTCTCCATCCTGTCCACTTATTCAAAATCAAAACTAAACATACTTTAATATTCAGATCCCACTTTCTCCATGAAGCCTTCTAAGATTTCCTCTGCACTAAAGTATATTTAATCTGTAGTCAGTCGCTGAACATTTATGAATCGCCTGGCAGTGTGCTAAGCACTGGGATACAGCAAAGAAAGGCAAAAGACAGTGCTCTCAGTGGCCTTTTCTGTACTTACTAAAGAATCTCGAATTCAGAAAGGACATACTGGGGTAAACCCTTTGAAGGCAAGGACCGCGACTGACGTGTAACCCCTTATAGCCTTCACTATGGCTCAGTACGTGTTTACTAAGTATTAGTAACACGTAAACTCCCTGAGGGAAGGAGCTGTTACATTTTAGAAATCCTCCACCTTGCTTAATAGGAAGGCGCCCATTAACTTTTCCTTGAATCCTTCTGTGAATCTCCGTTCAGCGAGGGGCCCCCACATCTGTCAGAATGTCGTAAGCCGCATCGCCCAAGTAGCCACCACACTCCAGGTGGCGGATGCGCTTATTGGCTGCCTGAGATTGTCACGGAGTGAGGCTCTCTAGCCCCTGTCTCTATGGTTTGGGGAAATCATCTGGGATTTGTGGGGGGAAGGGGAAGGGGAAGGGTGGCGGGCGGTGGGGGTGGTGATGGTGGTGGTTTCTTGACCAGTCCCCCGCTACGCGTGCGCGTGCGCGTAGCTAAGCGTGTGCCCGTGGGCAACTGCTGGCGGACGGGGGGGAGGGGGCGGGGAGCGTTGCGGCGGCGGCCGCCGCGGCCCGGGGCCTGAGAGCCGTTTGTCGGCGGAGCGGAGCGTTGTGCGCGGGGCTGTGCCGGCCGCCTTCGGCCCTCAGTGTCGCGCTCCACCGCCAGCCGCTGTGCCGCCAGATGGTGGGGCCGGAGGATGCTGGCGCCTGTCCGGGAAGGAAGCCCAGACTGTTCCCTCCGCCGGGGCCCGAGCCCGGGGGCCGCGACGGGAGGATGATCGGGGCCACGGGCGGCCCCGGGGGCGGCCGCGGCAGCTGCTGCCTGGAGCCGCAGGAGGAGGGGGAGGAAGAGGAGGAGGAGGAGGAAGAATCGGAGGAGGAGGAATCGGAGGAGGAGGAGGAGGAGGGGGGGCCGCCGCCGCCTCAGCGGCTGATTCAGCGATACTTGGCGGTGGCGGGCGGGCAGCTGGAGCCGGGGCTGTGCCATTGTAGCCCGCTCGCCGGCAGCCAGGCCGGCCGCCCCCCGTCGCCGCCGGGCTCAGGTTCCCGGCTCTGCGGGGACGAGCCAGACGGGAAGCCCCCTCAGGGCGGCGGCCCGGGGCCCCCGCTCCCGAGGATGACCAACGGCGACTCGGGCTTCCTGCTGGGCCCGGGCTGTCACGACCTCGAGGCCGGCGGGCTGCCCCTACCCGCTCGGCCCTGCTCGTCGTCGGCCCCGGAGGGAGGCGGTGGCGGCGGGAGCTTCCTCCGCTTCCCCCGGGAGCCGCGCTGCTGCCGCGCCTCCAACCTCCGCCGCCCGCCCGGGGCCGACGACGACGGCGAGAGCCCGCCCGACGGGGCGACTCCGCTAGAGGACCCGCTCCAGAGCTGCCGCCTGGGAGCGGCGGAGCCGGGGGAGCCCGGCGGCGGCTCGGGCTCGGAGGACGCCCGCGGAGGCCGGCAGTCCCCACAGCCGGCCGGGCCTGGGGCCGCCCAGCGCGGCGGGGAGGCGGACGGCAGGACTGCGGGGGGGCCCCCAGGCGAGCCGGACTTTCGCTTCACGGACGTGAACTTGAACTCTCGGAACACGTACGAGGTGAGCCGCCGACAGAGCGCTCCGGACTACCTGGCCCAAGAGGGGCTCCCGGGGTCCCCGCCCGCCTCGGAGCTGGGCCCGGCGGGGGCTGCGGCCAAAGCCCGGAGGAGCGGCGGCGCTGGAGGAGGAGGAGGAGGAGGCGGCGGCGGCGGCGGCTTTGCGGACTTCTTCACCAGGTAATCACGGGGCGGGGGCTGGCCTCCGGGGGCTCTCTGGGGGCTTATCTGGCGACGGACCAGACTTGGGGGCTTGGGGCTGGTGGTCGTGAACTGGACACGGGCTTATCCCTGGAAGATTGGCTACCTCTGTGTGCGCAGATTGGGGGTGGGGGGCGCTTTCAGGACAAATGGCCATCCTGCTGTTCCAGCAAGTTTTATAATGCCAAGTCTATAATGTCGGCTGGCGTTGGGGTGGGAAAGGTGAAACATCCCTTCCCGACCCCTCCCTCCCGCAAGATATTCCTGATCAGAAAGAGGATTTGGAGTTGGAGGCTTGGATTCACATAGCACCTGGACACTACTTGTATGACCTTGGGCAGGGAACTTTATTTACCTCAGTGGGCCTCAGTTTCCCCATCTGTAAAAACTGGACTAGATGGCCTCTGAGATTCCTTCCAGCTCTAAATCTGTGCTGTTATACCACGAGATTTGTTTGGGGTTTGTGAAGTGGAGGTCACTTTGCAGGGACAGTTTTATTTGGGTGGTGGCAGAATACATTCAATCATTTGTAATTGGAGACCCTCTTAGTTACAGATGTATTTAGAGAATGACCCCCCATCCTATGATTTTTTGAAGTCAGAAGTGTTCAATTTTGAACCCCCAATTTATCCCTCAATTTTAAGTTTTTTGAGTCCTTTCAGCTTCTCCCCATGAAGCGTCCTAAAATAGAGACCTTAATTTTTCAGCATTTTGGGGGGCAGTGTCATTTTGTTTAAATGGTATACTGAGATATACTAACCATAAGTTATGTAGTTAAAAACTGATGATCTCAATGTGCAATGCTGTAGGTGTATAAAGTAGCTGGAGTCATTATTGCCTTTCAGTTAGGCAAGAGTTCAGTAAATATTGGTACATTTTTAAAAAGGCGAAGCAAAATTCCTCTTGCAGATTTTAATATGAATTTTTCCAGCCATATTTTCTGTTTTTGTAAGACAGCAAGGCAAATAGTATTAATCCTTAACTTGTTAAATTCCAGTCTCCCAAAGTAATTGTCCTTGCTCTCCTCCTGATCCCATTACCTAGGTGTGAAAATAACATATTAAAACCCTGTAGTTGTTAATCTTTTTCAAAAGCAAGTTTGACCTTGACATCATGGTATGGTGGAAGGAGAAATGGATTTAGAGTAGAAACCCATCCCATCACATATTACTTGTATGGACCATGAACAAGTCACTTGACCTCTGAGCCTCAGTTTCTTCATCGTGAAGAGGAGGGAGTTGGATTAGCTACCCTTTAAAAACCCTTTCAACTCTAAATCTATGACTCTATCATTGACTTGATAAACCTATGTCTATATGTACACATTTTTCAGGGTGCAAAACTTAGAATGTCTCATTCCCAGTTTTACTTTGTCACTTTTGCTTCTTGTGTGAGTTTACAAAAGCAAGTCAAATAATTTAACCTAGAAATGAGTAACAGTCTGCCTTAATGGAGCAAGTACCAAGAAGTGATATTTATGTCTGTAGTTGCAAAAGTGCAATGCAAGTTTAAAGTCTGTTGTGGCAATACTCTAAAGGCTACAAGTTGGGAGATTTTTTAATTGTCATAATTAAGGTCTTTTTTTGGTCTTTATTTCCAATTCAGTTCAGAAAGCTTTATTAAACTCCTCTTGTGTTTTTTTCTTCCTCTCCATGAGTCTGTTTTGTGGGGGAGGGGTGATGAATGGGAGGATAGATGAATGACCATGGGCAAGTTATAGCATCTTTTGGATTCTGTTTCCTCTTAAGTGAGATGATGATACTTGTACTTCTGCACAGGGTAATTTTGAGGAAAATGTTGTATAAACTCTAAAGCCCTATGTAGATGTGCCGTGTGTGGTGGCATCTGTCTTGTCTGTAGGAAAAATCGTGGTAGAACAGGGGTGGGGGGAACTTGCAGCCTAGAGGCCACATGTGGCCCTTTAGGTCCTCAAGTGAGGTCCTTTGACCGAATCCGGACTTCACAGGACAGATGACCACTTCCTACCTTTGTGACCTTGGTAAAGTGATTTAAGTGAGGGGCAGCTAGGTGGTGCAGTGGATAGAACACCTGCCCTGAAGTCAGGAGGACCTGAGTTCAAATTTGGCCTCAGATCAAACACTTGGCACTAGCTGTGTGACCCTGGGCAAGTCACTTAATCCCAATTGCCTTAAAAAAAAAGAAGTGATTTAAGTGCTCTGAGCTTCAGTTTTCTCTTCTGAGAAATGAGGAAGTTGGACTTTGAAGATTGCTTTTAGCTCTAAGCTTTAGATCATCTGTGACTAGTCTGTCTCATTCTTCATCTTTTAGTGTAGAGTGGTACAATTTGGGCAAAAGAGATCTTAGCTGTCATTTAGACATTTTGCAGATGATAAAGCAAGGCTTGGAGAGAATGAATTTGTCTGGTGTAGTAAGTGGAGTCACAAGATCTGGGTTCAAATTTTCTTCTGAGTTTACAACCTTCTGTTAATTTTTCATATATTATGTATAATATGTACTTATATGCTCTTTTTTTTCCTTCCCTAAACTTTTTGAGGTCTGGGACTTTTGTCATTCTGTCTGTCCCCAGTGCTTAGAAGAATACCTGAATAAATACTTCTTGATTGAATGATTACTACCTATGTGACCTGGGGGAAGTAATTTTATTTTGTTTTCCTTATTTCTAAAAAGAAAGTATTGAACTAGTTGCTTTCTGAGGCCCCTTTCTGGTTCTAGTTCTAGGATTCTGTGATTGACCTAAGGCCACATGGATGGTTAATGGCATAATCCTGACTAGAATCAGCATTGCTATGTCCACGTCTCCTGTTGTTTTCATTGTTAAAACCCCAACAGGTCTTTCTTCTTGTTATCCTTCTCCATCTATTGTAGTCTCTTCTTAAATTGGTCATAATATCAAACTGAAATACATTTCTTTGTTTTCATTGAATTAAAACATTTTACTTTTAAAAGGATGAGTTGAATGTTTTATAGAAAGGACACTTTTTATAATGGGTAAAAATAATATTGGGCACATAAGGAAGAGTTCTAGAATATGTATTCTTTTATCCTGGAATGGAAGTGGATGATGGGGAGGGAAGAGATCTCCACCATCTTTCTTAGGTGAGGCGGATTGTGATTTTTCAGTTCTTCAAGGCCCTAAAGTTGAGTGTTCTTGACTTTTAGTTTTCAGTGAGTGGGGTGGTGGAAGGAAGTTGAGCCTGAGCAGCATCTTCCACTTCATGGTGACTGGATTATGTGATACCAGGAGGTAGACTGGCTTATTTATGAGCTGTGTACCCGAGAAAGCAGCAGCTGAACTTCTCAGCTGCTTCTGATTGAGCAGTCAGGAGTTTGAACCCAAACTTAGTCAAGTGCCACCCAGGCCAACTTTGTTTAAAAGCTTTGTTTCCTTAAGATTTAAGTGATATATTGTTGTATATTTTTTTTCTCATAAAACTAAATTAGCTTTGCCTTTTACTATTGTGGCTCTGAATTTTAAATTCTTAAAGCATTTTTTTTCTGGTCCATGACAGAATAAAATTATTCATATGAGAATGGCTTTATTTTTGCCACAGTAGTATCATGAACCCCTTTTTTACTCATATTTTACTAGGTCATTTGACACCTCTACTACTTCTTAGGATTACACTGTCACAGTTGTTCTTGTTTTCAGACTCATGGGTTTCTCTGCCTGTCTTTAGTTAACTTAAAATAGACACAGAATACCTATATAATAATTGAACAAAAATAAGTGTAAGCCTCAAACTTTATTGAAGTTTGCTGTCATGAATAAATTATGAGTAATCTTTTCTGAGTCTGAAAAGATACAAAATTGTAGGATTCTAGAGTTGGTAATTCCATTTATTATGTTCCTCCCTATCATAGCAACTGATGACAAGGATGTTAAACAAAGCTCTTTCTACAGCTGTTACATTGGAGACATGAAGAAATCCTTTACTCCCTATAGTGATTTCTCTGAACCATCCATGCAGATTCAAATGTCTCCCATTCTTCTTGACAAAAATGTTGATGAGCACAACAGGCGCTATTGATTCTTGAGTCTTCTGCACAGCTTAACAATTTTTAAAATAACTTTTGCTTTTACATTACCTTTACTTCCAAATATAACCTCCCCCCCTAAAAAAAAAAAAGAATGGGGAGAAGTACTTCTCCAGTCTGATTTTGCCTTGGCAGGGAGAAGTGGGGGAAGGAATGAGTATCTATCCAGCTATCTAATACCGTGATCTGTGCCAAGTTACCCTGTCCTTTTTAGGGCTGCTTACTCACCTTTGATGTCCACATGCCACCCAACTCCCACCTGTGGCTCCAAGTAGCTGTAGCATGTGCATCAGCTACACCACTCATCTTGACTTTTGTCTTGCCACTGGATTTTGATGACTTTGGAAGACAGTGAGGCTGCCTACTTTTGGAAACTCTGCCTCACTTAAATCCAACTCACAAGATATCATCCATTATTTTATCCATCTTAAAGTACCTGAGTATCTTGATGTTATTGGTCTTCTTCAAAAATGAAGGATCAACAACAACAGTTACCCTGTCAAAAAATGAAATGAAGTTAGTCATGACTTCTTGGTGAATTCATGTTGGCTTTTTGTGATCACTGCTTCCCCTTCTAAGTGGTCAAAAACCACTCACTTAATCATGTGTTTTAGGAACTTTCCAGGTATAAGTCAAGCTCAAAGTCTGTAGTTTGTAGATGCTTTCTCTTCTTCCTTCCTTCCTTCCTTATTTCTTGAAAATTGGGACATTTGCTCATCTTTAGCCCTAAAACATCTCTTGTATTTTCCAAAATATTTTTAAAGGTCACCATCAGCAGCTCAACAATCCCACTACTATTTCAGTACTTTAGATTCTAGTTGTCCTTATACTGATTTGAACTCATTTAGGGTAGTTGATGCTATCTGGTCATCCCTTCATTTAACTTGGGTTTCTACTCCTTTCTAATAATTGTTATTCTGTCCTTTCCAATCCATAGACCTTCTCCTTGGGAGAGAAACCAG